TTGGATGAGCCGACGTCGGGGCTGGATTCGACGGCGGCGGAGAAGATAATCGGAATGTTGCGGCGGATGGCGGCGGAGGACCGGAGGGCGGTGGTGGTGACGATACACCAGCCGTCGAGTAAGCTTTACTTTATGTTTGATAAGGTGATATTGCTGTCGGAGGGGAGTCCGATTTATCATGGGCGGGCCGTGGATGCGCTTGGGTATTTTGGGTCGTTGGGCTTTGCGGCAATTGGGCCGGTTAACCCGGCCGAGTTGCTGCTGGATCTTGCTAATGGTGCGTATTTTCCCACTTTTAGTTTTTTTTTTCGGGTATCAACATAATATTCAAATTATTTATATCAAATCAAAAATAATATTATTTTAAATTTTGAAAATATTTATATCTCATAAAGTTGCATTATTACCACTTGTTTAGAAGTGAAATCGGTCTTCTCATGCATTGGTTAGGGCCTGTTTGGGGCAGTTTATTTGGTGCGGCGGCGTTTTGAAAACGCATCTGACCTATTTGGGTAAACTTCGTTTTGACAGCTTATGTTTATTCAAAACGCTGAAAACAACGTTTTCACATCGCACATATGGCAGCTTTCTGACAATGATTTCAGTTTTAAAAATTAAAAAAAAATATAATAAGCTCATCAACAGATTATTCAATAAGCTGCAGTTGCTCCAAATAAACCCTTAAGAATTATGAGCTGGATAAGTAAATTTACCTATAAAAAATGATATTGGCTCATGCATTTTTTATTTATTTTGTTGAAAATCAATGTTGACATAAGACTTTAAAGTTGTGCAGATTATTAGAATGTGGGGAGGATTCTTCTTATGGATTTATAAACTAACCAAATGATTATATGTGCATTATAAATTAATTATTATAATATTATAGTTAATTAATTAAAAAAGGGTAAGGGAAGTAATTATTTGCCTCAGTGGTTGTACCACTCAAATCCAAAGGAAAGCTGAACGCAGATTTTAATTTTTGGAGATTTTAGCTTTTTTTCTTTTCAATGATTAAACGGAGGACAAAATGCTTTTTTAGATATCAACGATTTAGAAAGTAAATAATGCAATATGATTTTATGTTAATTGTTATAATGACAAAAAAATTATTGTGAGTTTGGGTTTATATATATATATATATATATAAACTTGTCATA